TGCAAATGAAAAACACAAATTAGATAATTGCTGCAATGAGTAGAATCCAACACATTTCCTGGCTTCTCTTGCATTGTATTTCTCCTTCATCTTATTGCTAAACCTTGGTTTGATGATCACCATGTTAAAATGACAAGTCTTTAAGAGTATTAATTGAATTTGTACTGGTAATGATATCATTGCAAAGGTCCCACGATTCAGGTGACAGTTCAATCTGTGAAATGTATGTTTTTGGTTTGGGTAGTGGATTATGTTTAAGTTTTATGTTTAAACTCCACTTTTCCGCCTAAAAGTGGAGCTTCTTGACATCTCTCTGATTCAAGAACAAAAAAGAGGCATATCTCCAATAGATGCATATGATTATAATAGGAAAGCAATCCTTCATTTTTTAATTTTTTAATTTTATCTATAATTGTAATGATGTTCTAATTGGCAGTTTCGATATATTGAATTTAAGCAATTTCACTGAATGCCAAGTGTGGCCTAGTTTTTTTTTTTTTTTAATCCTTCTTAGCAGCACCCTGCCGTTCCACACTCCTTTTCAGGTGATAATTTGTTTATGAAAATTTGGCTGAGTATACTCTTGGGTTTCTATTTTCTACAGGGAAGAGTAGTTCATCTTTAATCTTAAGGGTTGGTCAATTTTGAGCAACTGAGCTTATTTCATGGTTACTATATGTCTGTTGTCTAAATCTAGTGGATGCATTTCACATTATGCGTGTTTACCTTGGTGAGTGTGTGGAAATTATCTGTTTTTGGATCATAATTAATATTTTCTTACTTGCAGAGGAAAATACAAATAATATACTGCTACAATAAATAGAAGCCAACACAGTGCCTGATTCCCTTTGCTTTCCTTGCCTTGTCTTGCTCCTTCACCTTAGTGCTAAGCCTCAGTTTCATCACTACGTTAAATTAACTAGGTCTCTCACTAGTATCGACATTGTACTGGTGTATAGGTTTCATGGTTCATCATATCCCTTTTGCTGATTGTAATGTTCTTTTGAAAATTTTACTGAGCATCACCTAGGGTTTCTTCTAGAAGGAAGCTACAGTGGCTCATCCTTGTGTCCTACTATGGTTCAGTCAATTGGGACCATCTGCGGACCCCATTTACTAGTTACTGTGTGCCTGCATCCGGTGAACCTAGTTCATACTTAACACGTGTCTATCTTTGGTGATTAGGTTGACTGATATTTTTTTTTTTTTGAGCAGCTGTTTTTAGACCATAATTAATAGTCATTCTTACAAAGGAAAATATAGATTTGTAACCGCTGCAATGAGTAGGAGCCAGCACACTGCCTAATCCTCCTCGCTTTTCTTGCCTTTTCTTTCTCCTTTACCTTTTTGAGAAGCCTCGGTTTCATCGCCATTTTCAATATAAAAGGGCTCGTCTATCAGGGGTATTCTTTGTACTAGCATTGTGAATGAGCCAGTTCATAAGCCATTCTCAAGACGTAGGTTTCCTCTTTGCAGGTGACTTTGTTTTTTTAATTCTATATTTTATATTGCTTAGTCTACCGTGTTGTATATTGTTTTTGGAATTTGATATTCCTTTTAGAATTTGCTATTTGCTTTCTGACTATTATTTCGATGTCTTGTGAAATTTTCTGTGCCTGATATCTATTGAGTTCATTTAGGATATAATTTTCAATTCTTTCATTGTCGACTAGAAAAAATGGTTCAGGATAGTTCTGCAAGTTGTGACTTCAACTGAGAAGACCAAGGGCCATTCCATCTGTAATAATGTTTATTGTTTTCTTATTTACAGATCATCCTTCCTTATCTCTGAGAACGTATCCAAACAAGTTTCATCTCCCAGACCAAGAAATAGCACTCTGTGCTTTGCCTACCAAAAAATGTCAGTCATGAGTTATGAGGTTGACAAAGGTGAAGATGGAGAGGAAGACGATACTGATAGCGAATCCGATAAGGTTTTGATGTCAGATCAGTGATCTACCAAAAATGTATGTATATTTCACTATGCCTTAATAAAGATACATTAATTTTTCTATGACACACATCTAGCATTATAATGTTAGGGCATGAACTTATTTTTTACCACCCGCTTCACATTGTTAAATCCATTCTTCAATTACTCACCTCTGGCATTATCTTGTTATAATTTTTTATAGGCAACTTGGCTATCATTTCCTGATGACCTTGCAAGCCATGGACCTGGCCAATCCATTACCAGATTTCCTTCTTATGGGGCTGATCATGTTTTTTAAATTCGTGATCAATTAATAAGCCACATTTAGACATGGAATTCTGGGTAGCAACTTGCAAGAGGGTGGATAGTAGAGGAGAGGGCCCTGACTTTGGAGGATATGAGGATGACGAAGACCATGGAGAATGGTTCCTCTACACAAGAAGGTATCACTTGGCTGAGGTCTCAACTGGATTGACAATTTAGCTCCAAATTAATCTCATTTCATTAAGTTACAAGTAATTTTGATAATTGACAATGCAGTGGGGGCTGAAATTTGGAAGGGAACAAAAGGACTAGCAAGAAGCAGTCCTTTCATCAGAAGTTTCTGTGTATGGACGAGGCTCTCCTTGTTAGTTTCATCGAAGGCTATCCCATTCGAGTTGTCAGGTGAATGATGTTTGAAATTCTCTCTTATGTCGTAACCAAATTACAAAATCTTCTCTTTTTTGAGTATAAAATTGGGAAAAACTTAAAATATTTAAAAATTCATGTTCTAACAAAAGTGGTTTGTTCTTTGCTTCCCAGGAAAAAGGCAATCATAAGTGATGAAGTATGTGAAGGTGAAGACTTGAAGATGATGATGATGGTGTGAATCTGATAAACTTTTAAACCCAGATAAATTAGTTACTCGTGTAGCCTCAACCTCTAGGAATCAGGTTTTTGCCCTGGAGTGTCATTTGATACCACCCAAAGCCTGCTTCCAAACCAATGAAGCATCACAACCAAGTCTGCCAAGTGAAATGGTTTTGGTTCTCTTCTCGCCCTCCATGACTATCCTGGTTGCACCATCAAATTCAAGATATATCTTTTGCAACCACAGGTAAATGTTGATCATATTTCCTGCATCCTGATTTGTATCAGACCCACTCTGCAGTCTCCGGACATTTTTGTTCCGTGTTCTGAGTAGATGGCCAGTGTTTACCCGGGGTTTCAGAACGACTATCTCAATTGTGATGGTGCTGTGGGAGTGACAGGGAAGAAGGCAAAGAACCATCAAAGAGGCTTTGTTTGACGTGTTGGGTTTGGGTAGATATGCTTCTCTGGATTGCAAACCCACCCCTTTATGATGTATCATTGAACTTAAGAGGGTGCGATAAGCTAGCGTAAACCATGGAATGAGTTAAGAGTGTCAACTATGTACTTTGATAGCATTTTTATTTTCTAGAATTTATAAAATTATAGTATTTGAAAGAAATGTTAGTATTGTTGACCCCAAAAATGTTTTGCAGTTGATGGTTTTTAGTTACGGATTCTATAATTTTGCAGCTATTAGTAATAAAAAATTTATTTAAAATAAGTTTAAAAATTGACAACTAAAAGGATGTATTTGTTTGATATTAAAATATTTGTATTCTTATATCTTGTAATAATTATATAAAAATAGTACATATTAATCCCTCCTCTTAAAAAATTAAAGTTTTAATATTATTTTCATTTAATTAAAATTTAATTTAGAACAACCCGTTCTGACCCAATGATATTGGACCTAGGGTTAGGACTATTTACTTTTTATGGATTGCACGTTCGAATCCTACAAAAACCTTTCCACTTATTTCCCAATTAACTTTTAAATAATTGCAAGATGTTAAAACAAATTAAAATTTAATTTAAAATTTAAAAATTTAACTTATTAAATATTTATCTCTATATTTAAAAATTGATTATTTATTTAGAAGCTAATTATATATTTGAATAAATAATCAATTTTCTAGTATAAATATTAACATTTAATAAAATAAATTTTTAAATTTTAAATTAAATTTTAATAAACAAAACAACGTTATTAAAGATTAGAATTTTTTTTGTTTGAAATAAAGATTGATATACACTAGTGTTTCCTCCAAAATCCTCTCCTTTTTGGCTGCTCCTGATAGAAGTTATATCACTTGCTTTGCTTAAAGAAGGAAAAAAGGATTTTCAGCAACTCTCACTTTTTTCAAACGTAAGAATTTGTCTAAAAATCGATGGAAGAATACTATTTAATTAAAAGATTGTACCCATGATACTTAGACCAAACGATTGTAATAGAAATTGAGATGCATTGCTATATAATGATTTATAAATAATTGTTTTAGAAAAACATTAAGGACTTCTAACATTTAGGGCCAAGATGAAGTTAATTTGTTAGGCCAAATAAGTAGAAATAAGAAAACAAGAGAATGAGTCCATGACAAAAGTAAAAGATGATATAAAACTAAAGTAATAGGAAAACATAAAACTAAAGATCATGACAAAAATCTTAAAACTTCGTTAAAATTAAAATCTAAGAGTACTGTTAGGAATATAATGAACTAACTATTGATAGAAATAAAATGAAACTAAGATTTTTACTTAAAAATTTAAGAAAAATTATAACTAAAGGTTGAAATATAAATTCACTTAAAACTAAACAACTAGACAAAAATGTAAATTATTAACAAAAATGCATAGTGTGACGGTAGAAGAAGACCAACTATATTAAGTTTAATTATTAGAGCTAATTTAATAAAAAAACAACAAAAATAAAGAATCAATTGAGGGAGTCGAATTTCTTCTACACTAAAAAAAAAGTTGTAGAGTTGTTATATGAGCTATCTATGAACTACACAAGTGCTGAACTTTGACATGTTGAAATGTAGATTTTGTTCAGAGGGGCATGTCTGTTGAAAAATGTATTGAAGTGTTGTATTTATAGGTCTCCGTAATTGAAACTGATTGTCAAAAATCAAATTTGATTCTGATTTTATACAACTTCCCTTATTATCGTGTTTGACCAAATAAAAAGAATCTCAACAGTTTTGAATTCTTCCTTGCAAAATGAATTTTTGCCACATGTCATTTAGTTCCAGAAACAAAATTCTAATCGTCAAAAATCTTTAGAATCAAGTTTGTTGTAATTGTTGCTAATTTTTCTTAACTAAGTTAAACAATTTTACATCATATCTACAAACTTTTTGAATTGTGAAACTTCACTTTCTCCGTTCATTTTGCCACGTGACAGAAATTTATTACACTAGAACTTTTCCTTATTGTGGACTATATCGCACAAAGTCATGGCTATTAATCATCTTTTAAATTTTCAATTATATGAAAAAATTGTGCCCATTGAATTTCTATTAGAGATAAGTAACATCATTTAGAAAATTGTCAAACGTAATGTAAACAACTAATCTCTAATTATAATTAAAGTTCTAAAAACAACTAAATATAAATGAGGTTGTACTTGCTTAGCGTTGCAATTTTTATAAAAAACAAAATAAAGAATTATAAACTACATCAATACTAAACAAAAATATTTAAAATTTAATATCTCATGTTTACGATACAAAAAAACTTTATAAGGAATCTAAGCTAAGTGTACTATTCATGAAGAGTTATTATGGTAAAGAATAACTTGAACTTTTATAAAATATACTAAATTACTCTTTTTGTTTATTTTTGATAAATTTAATTTAATTTTTTTATTTTAAAAATATCAAGTTTAAATAAAAAATTAATAATTTATATAAACAATAATTAAAATTTTTTATCCTTATACATTATTTTCATTGAATATTTTTATTTGATTAAAAAATATTTTAATTATTATTTATATAATATGTTAAATTTTTATTTAAAATTTATTTTTAAAAAGATAAAAAAAAAAAACAAATCTACTACAATTAAACCGAATGAGAATAAAATTTCAACTTTAAAAATTATACTGCAATTCTAATTAAAATAGTTAAAAGTGCTTTTGATAAAATTTGTCTAGATCAGTGTTTAATTGTAGCAGCCCAAGGAGAAGGAAGGAAACAATAAAAATGGTTTTATTCAATATATAAATTGAATTTTGGCAAAGTTGATTTTTGTGGAGTTTGTAGGTAAATTCTCAAAAATGTAAAAAAATTGAGAGAATGACTATTATTACACTAACATGAAAATAAGAAAAAAAAATATGATTTACAATAATATTATGACATTAAAAAAATTAACGTTCGAAATAATAATAAAAGTATTAAAAATAAAAGTATTTTTAATAAATTAGTAATACACAATAAATTTTTTAAAAAAATTTAAACAATTTTAAAAGGAATAGTGTCCGTACATTCTGAATTTTACGTTTAAAATCCTTATTTTTTTTTTAATTCTAAACATATAAAATGTTTTACAAAAGCGAATTATATGTTAAAATATAATTTATTTTATAAATTTATTATAATATTTTTAATAAAATTATTAATCCCAAAACATTAATATTCAGCAGCACCCTGAAACATTAATCCCAATTCTAAAACTGTTCCAGAAAAATGATGTTCTTAAACGCCCAAATTTTCCCGGCAACCAAACAGACGTTAACGGCCAAGCTTGCAGCCACCAGAACGGACATCAAGGTGATTAACTCTGAAAAAGTAGCCCCGAGTTTCAGGTGACAGTTCAGTGACTTCAGTCTGTAAAAAATTTACATTCAATCGTTTGCTCCTTATAGACCCTAAAATTTATGTTTCTGGTTCGGGTAGTGGATTACGTCTCAAATTTACACCCAAAAATGGAGCTTCTTTGATGTTTCTCTACCTAGGAGATTCATATAATTATCTTATGAATTGAATTCTTCATGGGTCCTATGCATCTGATTATTATTGCTGAAAAACTCAGCTGTACTAGCTTACTTAAAAGATGATTTCTTGCATTGTATTGTTATGCTATATGTTTTGGATTTCAGGATGGATGTCTAATATGAAATGGTGAAGATGAGATATTTCTTTTTTTTGTTTTGTTTTTTTTTTTTTTTGGCTTTTTGGGAAATGGGTAAGTTGTATTAAACCAATCCCACAGGATATTTACAAGATATAGCAGGCAAATCTGATTCAATACATGTAGGCCAAGTTCAAAGAACAAAGTAATTAAGATGCCAATCTAACATGCTGCAATGTCCTTGACTAACAAAGATACCCCTCCTCTGTAGAAACTGTTTAGTTTTATTTTTTAATCCTTGAAGTGTGTCTTGGTATGATGCCCCCAGACCTTCTTTATCCTCCAAGCCTCATAAAGGCTTTGAACAGAAAAAGAACCATTGCTGCACGATGTCCACACTCTCTTGATTCTTTCAGCTACGTGCGGGAACCTCCTATAAAAGCTAATGGAAATAATCCATCCACCAGTCCCTAACCTTTGCAGTTCTATCCCAACATGACACCATAGTCTCCTGCCCCATTAACTGTCTTACACTTTCTTTCTTTAATGCTAATGATGTTCTAATTGGTACTTCTGAAGTAATTTTGCAGTTTTGCTGACCAGGGACTAGTTCTTTTAATACTTCTTAGCAGTATACTGTAGTCCCGCACCCTTTTTCCAATGATAATTTGTTTATCAAAATTATAATGAGTACAAGTGTACAACCTAGGATTTCTAGTGTCTACTAGTTTATCTTTAATCTTATGAATTGGTCAGTTTGGACCAACTACTGAACTAATTTCATACTCCCTCCATCCCAATTTATCTGTCCATATAACTAACTTTGCATGTAACTTTAGGTGATTCTTTTATATAGCACATGAATGACAATTGAAAATTTTTTTATCAAATAAAACTATTCAACAAGAGCTATGTATTTAAACAAAAAAATTCTGATGGTGTGCCATCAAGGGAACTTATTTAACAGTTACCATGTGCCTGCGTCTGGTGGACCCTGTTCATAGGGTTTTTTTTTTTTTTGTAATCTTGGTTGCATAGTGGGAGGCACTACCTCATCCATCGACCTCAAGACCTCTTATTTCCATTGGAAGGAGATTACCATTGAACTATTTAGTTTGTTGGCAGACCTCGTTCATAGTTATCGCATATCTATCTTTGCTGATTAAGTTGAAATTATCTGTCTTCAGACCATAGTTAATGTTGTCATTCTTAAAAAGGAAAATACAGATTTGATAACCGCTGCAATGAGTAGGAGCCAGCGCACTGCCAGATTTCCTTCACTTTTCTTGCCTTTTTGATAAGCCTCTGCTTCATTGCCACTGCAATATAAAATGACTAGTCTATCAGGAGTTTTCTCTGTACTAACATTGTGAATGAGCTGGTTCATCATATGCCATTATCAATCTGCAGGTTTCTTCCTTGCTGGTGATTTTGTTTCTTGGATTCTGTATGTTGTATCTCTTAGTGGCCCTCTAATAGTCTTTTCTATTGTATATTCTTGATATTCCTTTTAGCATTTGCTGTTTGTTTCTTACTCTTATTTCCATGTCTTGTGAAATTTTCTGTGCCCAATATGTATGGAGTTTAGATAGGAATAAATTTCGGTTCTTTCACTGTCAACTATTCAAAATAGTTCAGGATGATTCTGCAAGTTGTGACTTAAACTGAGAAGAGCAAGGGCCATTGCATCTATACTAATGTTTATTTTCTTACTTACAGAATCACTCTTCCTTATGTCCAAAGCTGAGAAAATAGGCAAACAAGTTTTATCTCCCACTCCAAGAAAAAGCAGTCTGTGCTTTGCCTACCTTAAAATGTCAATCATGAGTAATGAGGTAGATGAAGGTGAAGATGGAGAGGAAGATGATGCTGATAGCAAATCTGATGAGATTTTGATGTCAGATCAATGATCTACCAAAAATGTGTGTTGATTCCAGCCATCTGAAGCTGAGGAACACTTCAACCATGACAGATTGAGAGTCAGTGGTGCTCTCTGGAGGGTACAGAGATGATGAAGATCATGCAGGATGATTCCTTTATACTGGAAGGTATTACATGTCTAAGGTCTCCACTGAATTTACAATTTAGCTCCAAATTAATCTCATTTCTTCCTCTCATTGCAATTAAGTTACAACTAATTTTGATAATTGACAATGCAGTGGAGGCTGGGATTTGTGCTGCCAAAAAAGGACTAATAAAACCCAGTCCTTTAATCAAAAGTTTGATCAAATGAATGAGGCTTTGCGAGTACATTGCAAGTAAGGCTATCCTGTTCACGTTGTTAGGTGAATGATGTTTGAAATTCTCTTATGTGGTAATCAATTTATCAAAGTTTTTTTAGTTTTAAATGTATTTAGAAAAGAATGAATGCACACAGTTTAGATTGAGGTCCTTTAGATGCTATTCAATGAAAATAAGATTAATTCAGAATACTAGCAACTTCCGTTTTTTTGTTCTGCATGAAAAGACAACTAGAATCAAGAAATCAAGAAGTTTAAATAACAAAGGAATGTCTGGTTTTTGATCTTCCGTTTATCATAGCACTAGGCTTAAATGTCTCAAAGATACTATAGAAGCAAGTGATGGTGCATAAGGTCCCCAAAGGCGATAGGTCTT